AGCACTTTAAAATACAAGTACCATTTTCAGGTGCAGATTATAGGAACTAAGTTCTTTCTGGAAAAAAAAATCTTGTACCCGATTGCATTTCGTTTGCTACTGCAAGCTGAACGTATTTGATGAACACAGACTACGCAGAGTGGTGCACCATTTGCACTACCACCCAAAGAAAACTTTGCAAGCTAGTAGACAGAAAATGAGAATGAATTAAACCAATAAAATAAATTAGATGTGCATTGAGACAAAAACAAACAAAAAGCCGTGAAAAAGTCTGCATTAAAAAAATTTGGGCGCTGATATTTTTGAAAGTCTATCAGTCAATCTGAAATAATATTCCGTTTCATAAACTTTGCATTTCAGAGAACACAAAAATTTTGACTAAGTAAAATATCCCTAAGCTGAGTTTATTTGGTTCTAATGAAGCGTTCAAGCAAAAAAATAAATTCATATAGGCACTTGCAAAGTGTGAATGAGGCAAGAGAACAGAAAAAAAATGACTTGAATTTTGAAAAAAAAGAAAAACCGATGAAGTTTTAAAATTATGAAAAAAAAAATTGATTGTACACATCTGATTGTATTACTTCTATTTGTGAAAAAATTATACTCATTTTTTATTCCACTGGATAATCTCAAGTTTTAAATTCAATATTGAAGCTAGAATAATATTGTGTTTTCGTGAATTTTATTCAATTGCTGTTCACTAAGTGTGTTTAACTTCTTGTCAACAAAAAAATTGAACTGAAGTTAAATAGAAATCAAAAAACAAATCATAAAAATAAAGAATTTGAGCGTGAACAAATTTTAAGATTTAAGCACTGAAAAAGAAAACATAAAATCAACACGAACTATATGAAAGTCTTTGAAACGTTCCACAAAGCTAAACAACAGTCAAAAGTCAAGCCAAGGAATTGTTGAAGAAATGTCAATGAGTGCAAGAAATATTTGGACTAAGGACAAATGATTTTAATTTTTTTTAAAAGCTGATTTTAGTGCATGCATTTATGTATAAATACATACATACCTATATACATACATGAATACATACATATATACATACATACATACATACATACATACATGCATACATACATACATACATACATCCATACATACTTACATATATACATACATATTTACATACATATATACATACATAAATACATACATACATACATAGATACATACAAGCCTACATACAAACAGGCATACACAAATACATACAAACATACATAGATAATTGCACACATACCTAATTACATACATTCATAATTAAACAGTTCATTAGATAAGTGTAAATGAAAACAAGTAAAACAGGAAAACTTAGCTTGCAGACAGTTAAGAATACAGTTATTGAACGCATGTTAACAGAAAAACGTAGTGACTGTTTTATTGAAAACTTTCAAAAATTGTCGAAGAAAAGGATGTAGTAAAAATTCTTTAATGCAATTTGTGACAAACATTTTTTTTTGATAAATCAACCCATTTCGAGAAATTAAATATCTATAAGGTTAAGAGGATTTTGAAGTTTCTGCTGACCGATAGTGGAGCATGCTTTTTTAACAAAGAAAAGGAAGTGAGTTAAAAAAAGAATCAAGATTCCAACCGCAAAATTTCAATTTTGAGTGTTTGCAAAATTCAAAAGTTTGTCTTGGAAAAACAAAGAAATCACACGATGTGTATAGAAAATCGTCAAAACGATAACAAGATCATAGACTCTTAAAACCAAACACCCAACCAACGTCTACCATAAATTGTTTAGCTGTGAATTAAAAAAATGCAACCCATCCTTCCTCGCATGTTCAACTCACCCATATAAAATTGGATTTGCTGAGGTTCAATTTTTGATTATTTAGACTGACACTACAATATTAACGAGCCGAGCGGTGACGGAAGTTTTATGAAACGTAAAAACAGCATGTTTTGAAGAAAAAAACAGAAAATATCGAGATTTTGAATATTTACAAAAATTATATTTATATTTTTGAACTACAAACTACCGAATGTAAAATTATGAGTAAGAAATGCAATCTTGGCACAGAGGCGGATCTGAGTTTTGCAGCACTTGTGGTGCACCACAAACCTACAAAAAAAACATTACAAGCGAAGCGAAAAAGTGTTGCAAGAACTAGTTTTACCAAATTTCAAATCTTTTATATCGCGTAAGAAATTCATTCCTGTTAAACCCCGCCAGAGAATGGAATATCAAATAAGCAAAGAAACAAAAGTTAGAAATTTTAAGCGGCGCCGGATAGTTTTTTTTGCGCAAACAAGTTGGACCAAAAAAAAAGATTTTTTTTTTCTATCTGGAAACTTCTATGTCCCCCTATGAAGCTATCATGAGTAGTACTCGCACTTGCAAATCTGATGATAATTGATTACAGCTCAAACAAAAATCCGCTATTTGGCAAAATTTGAACAGAAAACGAAAATCTCACAATTCGATTTTTAACTGAAAAAGTATTCAATCACATGCATACTGAAAAAGGTCCGACCTGGACTCGAGTTCAAAAACGCTGACCTTATGGTGCAAAAACGTTCGAGTTAAGAGAAAAAATTGATGGCTTTCAAGCTCTTTGAACTTCTTAAACACTTTAAGATTGGCTTTTTTCTGATACTTTTACTCCATTTGAGAAACCTGGATCATTAGTTTTAACTTCTACTTCGCTGGGAAATCTGAAAAAAAAATTCTAATTAAGAAATTAGATGTCGATCACGTTTTTCTTACCCTTTAAACTTTTACTGTGACATATCTGACTTTGCTTTTGATTTTAGGGAAATGAATTGAGCTCAAAAGAAAAAAATTTGAATCGCGAAAAACAAAGTTGAGCGTGAATAAATTTTAGGACTTCTTCTCGAAACAAAGAAAAAAAAGTCATCAAGACCTGTTGAATAGCGTTCACTACAAAATGATTTTAAGAAATGAATACTTTTTGAAAATTTGAAGAAAAATTATCCCGCTCTGTGATGTCATAGATGTTACGCATTATTGATTTTTGATCCCAACAAATTTTTGGACTTCTTCTAAAGAAAAACTAAAAATAAATACAAAATAGTTATGACCTATATGAAAGATTTTCACTATGTCTATTGCTATGTTTTAGTATCAGAAGATCAAGAAAACCTCAATGCGCTATAACTATAATGATAACAACTAGTTGCTTTACCAGGTGCTGTTCTGGAGTTGATATCTTTTTTTTTTGTTTTTCAATGTGTACGTTGTCTCTTAAATCACAATTAGAATTTTTTTTTGGTCGGTCAGAAAATTCAAGAGTTATGTGTGCTAAAAGAACAGCGGATTTAGTTGGGAGGCTTTTGGTGGCTAGAGGGTCGTAATTTTGAAATTGTAGGGGACATTCAACCTACATCCTCCCATAGCTGTTATGATGAAAGAATTTTACAACATAGTCAGCAAACAAACATAGTCAGCAGACAGTGGGTAAAAAACGAATGAGCGGAAAAGAAACAGAAAAACAATCTGTCTAGTTTTTTTTTTTCACACAAGCATAGCTTGTGTTACAGTATGAAAATTTTCTTTTTTTCCAACCTAAGCCGCAAATATTGTTGGGATGCAATTGTAAAACAAAATGAAAGGATATTTTGCAAGTGTTCATTTTGATCCAGCTATTAAGTACAGCCATTACTAAGGATATTAACACAGAATATTATATTACAACATGCACTTTAGCTTCTAGGTATCATAATTCTGTAGCGTAGAGTTAGGGAAGGAGCAAAATAACAGGGTTTGAATCTGAGCAGGGTCAGATGTTTATTGAACTTTTTCATATACTAATTAAAATGCGTTCGCTTTATAATTTGAGGCATGTTAATTGGTAAATTTTCTTTTCAAATTGACTGGTACTGCTAATGCGTTACAATTGGCTTGTGTCACTTAACAATTACGTAGACTCAAAATTGGCGCGCGTCACTTAAGAAGTTTTGAAGACTCAAAGTTTTACTCATTCACTTTTTTCCAGTAGTGTTGTCAGTCAAATTTTTTCTTGTGTATGCGAAGTGCAACTTCGCCTCTGTGGAAAACTTTAGCTTTTGAAATTCAAAAACATGAAAAAATTTATATTTGAAACATATTTGAATATATCCAATTAATTTGAATAAAAATTGAAATTCTTTATACTTGAAGAACGGCGTATGATTGACACATTTTTGATTAAAATAACCCATTTTCAGAACACTGATTCAATAGGTTATTTTTATCCTTTTTTTCATTAAATTTCGAGAAATTTATTTGAGTGACACTTTCAAGTTATCCTATTTAGAGAAAATATAATATACATTTATCTCCATTCAAAAAATTTTCCTAATCAGACCATTGAATTTCGATTTCGAAACATATATCGATCTTTTTTTGTGGTCTTTACACTTTTGCCCTTCGATAGTGGAGTTTTCGTAGAAAAATCAAGATTGAGCGTGAAAACTTTCACGACTTGTTTCTGAAAAAAGTCAAAGATTTATAAATTTTGTCAATTAATTCATTAAGCAGTATCTTATTGCCCAGAAAAATTTTAAAAATTTGATCCCCTAAAGACGAACGTTCTTTTTTTTGGAACCAACTAATCAGGGCCGAGGTTTAAAAGGCTAGAAGAAAATGAAAAAAAATTACTTGTAATTTTTTTCAAAAAGTCCCTATTAAATTTCACCTATTAGTAAAAAGCAAAATATGAAAAATGCTATCGTTAAACGATAAATTCAACAATCGAATTGTTTCTTCAAAAAAGTCATTTTTCCTGTTTTTTGAATAATCGGATGGTTTCGCAAAGACCCATAGGACACTTCAAGAGCAAAACGGAAGTACATATTGCGGCAAAGCTTTCACAAAACTGGAAAAGCTTCGTTATAATTCTTATTTTGTTTTAAACAAGTTTTTTTATTATGTTTTAAGCATTTTAAAACAGCCTCCCACCCTGCAACTAATATATAGTTGTTGGTTAGGTCTTACTTTTATATCTACTCAACAACCTTCTTTTACAGCTAAATATACTCACATATTCCAGCATGGTACGCAATGGCAGACAGTCCATTAGCGTTGAGTTCATCAGCCACTTGTTCACACTCCTGTCTGGAGAGACAGTACACTATGCCACACTGTCTTCTGAACTCACTCTTCACACGGATCGCCATCTCCTCCACTAAAGTTCCTACATTACAAAAGCACCTTTTTGCTTTTTTATCTGCCATGTAATCGTACCAGACTACCCATTTCTCAAAAACGATATTTTAGCAGCAAAACAAATGAATTTGGTGAAAACTTCTTGAATTTGGTGAAAACTTCGATGCAGACTGCATCAACTTTAAATTTCACAATTACAATCAAAAATCAAAAAAACTGACCAGAAACACCTAAATGTTAATGCAACAATCTGAAGCAGTCATAAAGCTCCTCTGAGCAACTTTATGTACACAGAGGCGAAGCTTTGCTTCGTAAACGCAAGCGAGAACACTACAAAAAGCAGCTCTATAAAGTGCAATAGGAAAAAGTTGAAAGCCTCGAATTAGTGAAAATTCGGATTCGTGTCGGACTCCCTCATTTGAGCTACAGATTATGAGTCAAACTCACTAAACACTCAGCCACGGACTCTATTCACAAACACCAGCCACAAATAAAGCAGCGAACAGATACTATGAAATTTACAATGCTACAGATCGTGATTATAAGCGAAAGTGCCAAATAAGTGAACCTTTTTAATGAACACTTTTATTTGCGAGTTAGGCTAGTGTAAATAACAAGGATATCAGGTTACTGTGCAAATAGTACAGAATATTCCGACAATAGTCATAAGAGCAGGCGTGACCGAGTGAGTAAAATGCACGTCCTCCTTTAACACGAAGTTCGTAGGTTCAAATCCCGTTCGATCACGGTTCGAAACTTGGAAGGTCCCATTGTCATCCACCTCCTCAAGGAGGGACCGGCTGCGGTAAAATCGATGAATCCTCTCTCCCCCACGAAAAAAGAGCAAGGTGAAATGGTGGGGGCTAGGGATGGGGCAAATAAAAAGTACCAGTTAAAAAAAACAGTAAAAAATAACTACTCTTCCAAAGTGTAGTTTTTTATGCGTGGTGTGATGGAAGGCTCTGATGTAAAACTAGAACTTAGGCATATTCGAAAGTCATAGTAAACCAGGACAACAGTTTTTGTCGAAAAAGAACCAGAATAACAAAAAAAACGTTTTTCGAAACTTTTGAAGACCAAAATGGCATTAAAAACCGAAAAACCAACTCAACTTGCGTAAAACTAAGTTTTCAGGGCTATTTTACGCCTGTTCGCTCGCTTTATTTGCCAGAAATTGAACAAAAATACAAAAATTTCAAACCAGTTTTTCTCAATATCGGGAAAAAAATTTAAGTGTCGTTCGAATCACGACTAAAAGGGCTTTAATTTGGAATATCACTCGACCCATTCCTATGATTATTTGCGGTACCTGATTTTGCGTGGACGAAACTAAAACACACCCGAATACAAACTTCCTCCCACTTTGAATAGTCGGAGCAGAAGTCAATGGTGAGTATAAAAAACACTGTAGGTTTGAGAAAATTTTGCGGAGCTTATTCAAACCCCCAAAAACAAACCTTTCTGTTTCTTCCTCACTTCATAGACTAGATTGGGCCTGTTGAAGCTCTGAACAAACCACTTCACACTAGAGGTCATTCCTAATTGTCTCAACACATCCTGACTCACTCGAGGGGTGGCAGTGGCAGTCAGGGCCATAATGGGCACTCCAGGAAAATTGTCTCGCATCATCCTACGAAAAATTACTTGTGTAATTAAGATTTTTAAATCAATTCTCCACATGCAATTGAATGTCATTCATCAGCAGAAGCTCCATTTTTGCTTCTGCCTGAATTTATTTGCAGGCATCTTGCCGAAAAAAAAAGATCAACTCGTACCTAAAGGTACTTTACGAGCAATTATCTAATTAACGTCAGTTGTCGACATCTATTCTCGAAACTGTGAGACACGTGAACCGATATTCTCAGCTCACAAGCGCATATAGCTTGGGTTCAATCACAGCTCAACAAAAAGATGGAAGCTGGCCCAATATTTCCGATTATTTCCAGGCCTATTTCATGAAATTGCTCGAAGTTCTACGCATGTTTCAAGTTCCAGGCCTACTTCATGAATTTCCGCGCCTATTTCTATGTATTTTTCGAACACTCTCAGAGCACATCCAACTCAATGTGCACATCAATTTCAACGGACATGATCAACAACACATCTTCCAGCTCGTTATACAAACTCTAGTTCACACGCTCAAAACCACTCGTTCATCGTTTAAGTGTATGGGAGTAAGCGTTCGATACTTGCCAATATCTCGGTGAAAATTGATTATTTAACTTAGCGAGTAGTCGTTTCCCAGTAGCGAGTAGTGCCTTTCTTCGTAGTTTTAACGGAATATCTATAAACATGACAGGATCTTACTTCAGCTTGGTGTAATCCGGTCTGAAATCATGTCCCCATTGGGAAACACAATGTGCCTCGTCAATCACAATCCTCTGCAACATGCCCCTCCCATGCACCACTTTCAGCTTCTCAATCAAATAGTTGCTTTGCATCAGTTTCTCGGGAGTCACGTAGAGTAGCTTCAAAGTGGGTTCAGGCGAGGTCAGCATTGAGACGTAGACGGAGCTGTCGTTGGACTGCGTTCCCATCAAGTGGTCGGCCTCTTGACCCAGAAGATTGAGTTTGTCCACTTGGTCTTGGATTAGAGACTTCAGAGGTGATACCACTATAGTCAGACCAGGCCTGAAAATGATTTTTTTTCGGACGAATGAAACACGTATTAACTCAAAAGAATCAGAAGTCACTCAACTTACTGTTGAAGCTTGTTTCGTTTGTTAATAGCTTTTCGTAATAAAATGTAACTTCCAATATCATTAGCAAAATTTCTGACAAAATAATAATTTCGAGATTGCGTTTTCAAGGCAAAAACCAAGTCATGGACAGTTTTATTACCTAGATCAGAATTTTTTCGAAGGCGCTGAACTCACTCGAGTTGCTGAAATGCTAAAATGAACTCACTCGATGAGTGCGGGCAGTTGGTAACACAAACTCTTGCCACCTCCAGTTGGCATCAAAATGAAACAATCATGTTTCAACATAGATGCATTGATAGCCTCTAGTTGATTTTTCCTCCATCTATTCAGGCCGAACACATTCTTAAACGCAATTTCCACCCGTTCCGAGAACTCACATTTCTTATTTTGAAACTCATGGCCGTGGTCAAAAATAGTCTTCAAGGTTGTCTTTAGTTGACCTGGTGAAGTATTAAGCTCAGCAAAGGTGGGCTCATCGTTTTCACCGAAAGACGTGTCATCATCTTTATACTTCTGCATTACTTGTGAAACAAAGGATGGGCTACTTGCTACAGTACTCTTATTAAAATTGCTGCTTTGATGAACCTTTCCGTTGTCATCTTCAAAATCTTCGGTCAATAAAGACGACATTAATTCTTCGTCGTCTAAATAACACATGTCATCGTCATCTTCATCGTTTTCAGTATTGTCGTTGCTACAAATTCCAGACTGATAATCATAGTCTTCCTCATTCTCAAAATCCTCTGCTTTCAGATTACCAAACTCTGGAAACCCTTCGCCTAGTTCTGAGGGCGTTTTGTTCTGCGTATTACTGCTCTTTTTGCCGACCGGAATATCATTTCTGCTCTGCGGAAAATTCGCAATACTTCTTGACATTAACGGTTCATTTTTATTGAGCCTTTTGTTATTCTCAGATGATTCCTTCAGTTCTGAATCAATTTCGGGCGACAATAAATTGACTGTTTCGATATCTCTAGCTAATTGAGATTGTGAGCTGGATGCATGTTGGTCTTCGTCTGGATCAAAAATGTCGGTGACGGAACTATTGGCTGATTCGTTCAAGTTCATGTTTGATGTGCTCAGGAGGTCAATTGTCGAATCGAGAGACGTCGAGAGTTTGCTCTTCTAAAACATAAGTATGTATGATACAGCAATGATTTAAATTATCCAAATAAAATGAACACAACTTAAATTTTTAAAAGCGTTTTTCTCAAATTGAGTGGACATTAAAAAACAAACGACGAGAGCCAAAGTTGCTTTAACATTTACTAAATTTATTAAGCGAGTTTCGGGGCCAAATTTTTACAAAAATAGGTCATTTTGGCTTCTTTTATCAATTAAAACTACGATGTTTAATGAGTCGATTGATGAGCAAGTTTCATCAAAGTGAGCCTCTTACACAGCCCAACAAAGGTTTAGAAAATAATCATTTCCAAAATCTTTATAAATCATCAACTTTTGTTTGATAGCCAAAAGATGTCATTTTTATATTAAAAATTACAATTCTTTTATTGAATACAAATTGACCTGAAATTCGCCAGAAAAATTGCACCACAATAATTCTGGTTAATTTTGAAGCAAAGTTGGTTCGCATCATTTATTGTCAAATATCGACCCAATTTGAGAAAAATGCGTTTGAAATTTCAAGTTTTGTCCCTTTTAAATAAATTAAAACACAGTTGATCGAAGATTGAAAAAGAGTAATGACCACATGTAAACATAGAAAAAACAGACTTTGTTGAAAAAATCTGAAAATTTTTTCCTGCAAAAAAAAATCAGCAAGACCTATATAAGAGTCTTCACTATGTTCATTACTCTTTGAAATAGATGACCTTTAAGCTCTTTGAATTTCTAGAACGTTTAATGATTGGCGCGCTTTTTTGATAACAATAACCCAACTTGAGAAAACTGGAGCAACAGGTAAAGTTTTGATTCCGCTGGAATCTAAAAACTAAATTCCACTTTCGAAACTAAAAATCGTTAACGTTTTTTAGCGCAATTTCCACGTTTGTATTTGAAGCATATGTTTTTGGTCTTTCACACATGTTCTTTCACGACAAGGCATAAATGAAAAATGAAATAATGGAACGCATGAATGAAAAAAGAAATCATTTGCATAGTTTCGCGCTTTTTTCTCTCATCGGTCTACTTTTTGCAATTTTGCTGACCACCGTTTTAAATTTTCCGTGCTCTTTCAAGAGGCTCTTTTTTTGAAAGAAATCCGATTATAACTATTGACAAAATGTGAATCGAAGAAAACATGGATTGTAAGTACGATTACGACTCAGATGACACTCAGATCGGGAATGAGCTCGACGACAGAAATGCCCCGTCCATGCTCGCACACAAGACTGTACGCTACATGAAATGCGTGAGAAAATACTGGCCACGATGGATACGAAGCTAACAACTTGTTGATCCCGAGCCTTTCGCTTGTGACCTTCGAATGCTTTTCCAGAATTTTCGTCCTGTTATCAACGACTATTTGCCGATGTTTCTTGAAGAAATTCGGAGAAAAAATGGCACATTATATCCCCCGAGGACTTTGTACACTATGCCGACTATTACGCAGATACTGGAATTGAATCTCAAATGCGATATTATGAACGACTCAGAATTCACTCGGGCGAGAAAATATTTTGACAAAAATTTGAAAAAGCTTACAGCCAATGGAAATCAACCGCTGAAAAGACGAGCCGAAATAGTTTCAGAAGAAATGGTAAGCGAATTATATAGAACTGGAATTTTGGGAGATTCTGGCCCAACCATACCATTACGCACGGTTTATTTTATTTTGAGGAAGTTTTTTGCGCTTCGCTCACGATAAGAGCACTGAGATTTGTGCAATGGCTTCAACAGCCAAATTGAAGTAGTTGGAATGTTTCCGGATGAAAAAATCGTGTACCACGAAAAAAAGTCAAAAACAAATAACGGAGGGTTGAGAACCATTAAACACACTACAAAGTCCGGCGAAATATTCTCAATCGGAGGTAGCAATTGTCCCGTGAGGCTTGTTAAACTGTACATATCTAAACTACCCCAAGGCGCGAAAGGCTTCTACTGCAAACCTTTATCAAAATATCAGCCTGGAAAGTGGTATGGCTGGAAAGTTAAGAAAGTTACGGGGCACCGAACTATCACTGCCTTTCAGGAATACGTCAGGTCGGATGTTGTGCAGCGAACAGCATCCAATGCGTTGGCGTCGCCGATGTATTCCCCAGATCAACCTCATTGCAGCAAGACAAATGTGCAAACTCGTAACGTTGTTGAAAAAGCGCAAAAAAACTTCCAAAAAGACCAAGAACTGCTCCAGAACCAGAGGATGCTTTTTTATCGGATGATGGGGCACTGAGATGGCGATGTTACAATATGCAGATGAAGAAGAAAATATCTTGAAAATGAAAGAAACAGTTGTGATTAATAACCCCCAAAACAGTTTTGATTAATATCAGTTACTCTTAATTTTTATTTTTAAATTTTCGTCTCTGTCCTCCAAAACAAACAGAAAGAGCAAGAACATACTCTTCAACAGTTAGAACATAGTTGAAGATGGACTCGGGCAAAAGAGCCGAACTCCGGCACTTCGTAACCTCAGGCCGGGCTCGTTTTCCCTCGGGCATCTTTAAAATACTACGGAGAGTGCTATTTACGTCACTTTCAACAGATGAATTTCAATTGAAATCAAAAAGTGCATATAAATCTAAGTGCATTCATAAATGCATCAATATATATGAATGTACATCTGTAGTTATTAGAGACTTTTAAAACATTTTCCTGAAAAAAAATCAGCAAGACTTATATGAGAGTCTTCACGACATTCATTACTCTTAATCAGCTCTGTACAGAAAATTTAAACTCGCCCTTTTTTCAAAAGGCCGGGCTCGTTTTCCCTCGGGCATCTTTCAAATACTACGGAGAGTGCTATTTACGTCACTTTCAACGGATGAATTTCAATTGAAATCAAAAAGTGCATATAAATCTAAGTGCATTCATAAATGCATCAATATATATGAATGTACATCTGTAGTTATTAGAGACTTTTAAAACATTTTCCTGAAAAAAAAAATCAGCATGACTTATATGAGAGTCTTCACGACATTCATTACTCTTAATCAGCTCTGTACAGAAAATTTAAACTCTCCCTTTTTTCAAAAGGCCGGGCTCGTTTTCCCTCGGGCATCTTTCAAATACTACGGAGAGTGCTATTTACGTCACTTTCAACAGATGAATTTCAATTGAAATCAAGAAGTGCATATAAATCTAAGTGCATTCATAAATGCATCAATATATATGAATGTACATCTGTAGTTATTAGAGAATTTTAAAACATTTTCCTGAAAAAAAATCAGCAAGACTTATATGAGAGTCTTCACGACATTCATTACTCTTAATCAGCTCTGTACAGAAAATTTAAACTCGCCCTTTTTTCAAAAGGCCGTGCTCGTTTTCCCTCGGGCATCTTTCAAATACTACGGAGAGTGCTATTTACGTCACTTTCAACAGATGAATTTCAATTGAAATCAAAAAGTGCATATAAATCTTAGTGCATTCATAAATGTATCAATATATATGAATGTACATCTGTAGTTATTAGAGACTTTTAAAACATTTTCCTGAAAAAAAATCAGCAAGAATTATATGAGAGTCTTCACGACATTCATTACTTTTAATCAGCTCTGTACAGAAAATTTAAACTCGCCCTTTTTTCGAAAAGCCGGGCTCGTTTTCTCTCGGGCATCTTTCAAATACTACGGAGAGTGCTATTTACGTCACTTTCAACAGATGAATTTCAATTGAAATCAAAAAGTGCATATAAATCTAAGTGCATTCATAAATGCATCAATATATATGAATGTACATCTGTAGTTATTAGAGACTTTTAAAACATTTTCCTGAAAAAAAATCAGCAAGACTTATATGAGAGTCTTCACGACATTCATTACTCTTAATCAGCTCTGTACAGAAATTTTAAACTCGCCCTTTTTTCAAAAGTCGAGATCAAAAGCCGGTTACTGCGCAAGTAGCAAAGAATGTTCCGACCATAGTCTTAAAAAAGAACAAAATTTTTTCAAATTAGTGGCATTTTTCTGCGTTATGTGATAAAAAGATCGGAACGAAAAGCTAGAGCTTCGGCATATTCGACATTCATCGTAAAATAAGCAAATTGGACAACAATTTATATAGAAAAATTAGAAATTCCCAAAACTAATTTTACTTCAGTTAATTTAAAATTAGGCAAACTGGAAAAACACAAGTTGGAACAATTAATGCAATTTACTCACCTGTTGCGCTACTCTAGCCGCCAATTCAGCTCTCATCCTTCCTATCGATTGATCTTTGCTCTGACTAACCGCATCACTCAGCCTCTCGTGAAAAGACAGATACTTTGCCAACTTTCCGGAGCTCACATCGTCCAATTTCGAAATCACGTGACTTTTTTTGATCAGCTCTACCATTTCGTCAAGTAACTGTACCATCACTTTATTCGCTTTTTGCTCAGAGTCGAAAACGGACGAGTTGCTATTTTTCATCTGTTCAATGGCTTGTTCAACTGTTTCAATAGAGAAACTCTGCTCTAAGGTATTATTGGTCGATGACTGCTGAATGCCTGATGCTGAGCTTCGCTTAAAGAAACTGTTTGCGGCCTGCCTGTTTGTGAAGTTTTCTGAATTGGATTGGACCTAAACAACAATTGTTCCAAACATGAAGTTGAAAGAAATTTGTTTTCGGGTTCTTTTTCGCGGACTTTTTTTCCACTTAAGACGAGGTACCTGAATAATCGTCGGATGGAGTCAAAGGATATATCATATTACATCTATTCCACTGGTGAGTCTACCGATGTTGAAAAATTTCGGAAAAGATATCTCAGTGACAATAAAAACGGTACTTGTCGACTTTGTTAGTTTATTATAAGCTTGCTTTTAGTCTCTTCTGCCACATGCACAAAAACGAAAAACCATTCAAAAGATATATTTTCGCAATAACGGCGCTCGGAAAATTCTGTGCACAGCCACCGGTTTTTCTTATTTTAAGGATCATTTTTGTGGCAAGCTAAAAGCAAACATAAAAAAAAATTAAATATTCTAAAGAAGACGAAAAAAGTTTATGAAAGATTGAAAACCCGTACTGAATAGGATATAAAATGGGACAATTTTTATTTCAAAGTTTTTTTTATATCCTAGTCAGCATTGCTTTCTATCATTAGATCATTTGAACACTAACATTCGAATTCCGTTTAATTGTGCTTGTTCCGCCAGGTGCACCGGACACATTCTTAAAAATTGACATGCTCCCACTATTCGAGGTGTTACTCCTGGAAGCTGATGCCATGCGTAAGCAGTCTGCTACTTTCGGTTTTTCTGCTTCTTTCGTGTGCTGGACAATCGGTGATATTGGTACGTCAGATCGAGATGCAAATAAAGACTCGTCTTCTTCATCTGAAAGAGAGGGTACGTCTTCTCGAGCTTGAGCAGGCTCTGTTGCTCTATTCGTTTCAATTCGCTGAGCTGAAGATGAGCCACTGGCCTGAATAGATTTCATTTCTTAGAGAAGGTAGTTACTTACCAGATGTTATCGAGAATTTAAAAACAACAGTTTCGACACAGGCCAGGCGAAGTTGAGCTTCGCGCCACTTGCGATACAAAAATGAGTAAGTATAAAAAGAAAAATCAAAAATTGAAATAAAAACCTTTAAAAACCGTTTTTTTTTGTCAAACAAGTTTAAAAAAATTGCAAAAAAGAACAACAATTTCCTAGAACAAAATAACCTGCTTTACAACCTGCATTAGAAACTTTACAAAGATCTTTCAAAATACTAAAAAGAAACGAAACACTTCTGCGGAACTAAGCCGACAAAAAATAAACACATGAAATCTTCAGTTTCCACAAAAAAGAGGTCCCGACTGAAATCGAACTTCCGAGATTTCTCGCCTCAAGCATGGGTGTTACCACTGCACCGAATGCAAAGAACACTCATTGGATTTATAAAAGAAACAATTTCCAAAAAAAAAATTTAAAATGAAAAAAATCAAAACAGCCAGAATGAAACCAGAAAAAAAAAGACTTGTTTTTTTGAAAAAATCGAAACTTTCAAATTTCCGAGAAAAAAATTAATGGCCTTCAAGCTCTTTCAATTCCTAGAACAATTTATGATTAACATTTTTTGATAAAATTAACCCAATGTGAGAAAACTGGACCAATAGGTAAAATTTTGTTTCGCTGGGAAATCTGATAATTGATCGTTGATCACGTTTTTTGCTACCTTTACACTTTCGCTGTTCGATAGTAGAGTTCGCTTTCCTTTTAACAAGTGATATGAACTGAACTTGAAAAGAATTCAAAAGTCAAACCGCGAAAAAGTAGCGGATTTGAGCCTGAACAAATTTTAAGACTTTCTTTTCCTTAAAAAAAAAACAAAAAAAAATCATCGCGACCAATATAAAAATAGCAAAAAAATCGGCAAAACTTCTTAGACTCAATTACTTGCCCAGAACCGCAATACACTGGCATCATTTTTAATTTAAGTAAGACGCCTAAATGTTAGGCAAATTTGGCGCTGTGGCAACTAAGCCGACAAAAAACCTGCAGACAAACAGAAGTCAATCATTTTTTGACGCTCGGATAACTATATGGTTAAAAAAACAGGTCCAGGCCGGATTCGAAGCATTGACCTTTACCTATAAAGACAGGTTCGTTAGCTCTTCGCCTCATGTGCGAATTAACATCTGACATTACATTTCATATGAACCAAAGATAAAATGATTCAAGTGATTCTGTTAAATTAGCTGTTAACCCAAAAAACGATATATTCCCATTTAATAACGCTTGCTGATCGCAAGCGTAAAAAACTTCCGTAAAATACTGTCGGAAAAATCCATTTTTGAGATTTTTCAGCTAGTCAAATTATCGGGTTGGCTCTGCTACAAAAAATTGAAATCGACGATGATGTCCAAGTTCAATTTCAATTACCTGAGTATTTGTAGAATTACTTCGAATAGATGCTGAGCTACTGGATTCAGCTACACCGGTTAGAGAAATTTCTGTTGTTTTATGTTCGTTGTCGTTCTTTCTCTGAGGGAGCACTTTAGCTACCGGTACACTTGAACCACTGTTTTGGTGGCTGATTAATGGTTTACTGAAGGGAGAAACTGGCGGTCTTTTTGCTGAGTAAGTGCTCTCATTGTTATCAAACAAACTAGGCGAATCCAGATCGAGCGTATCGGGCTGATTTTTGGTATCTAAAATTGAGTGTGGTCATGTTTCATTGAGTGATTAATGAGCTAACATCAAAATTATTCAAAACTTAGTTACTATAATAATTACTCAATGATGTTTTTGAGTCAGGGAATGCTTTTGATGTTCTTTGCTTCTAGAATGTTTTGGTTAAGTTTGATGATAATTTTGGAGCTGTCAAACACTTCGCCTCTTTCAAGTTCAAGCAGCCACAACTGTTATTTATGCGCTGTGTAGTCTTTAAAACTTCTGATCGAATAAGCTTCTAAACTGCTAATTTTGCATCCCTACGATTTCTATTCGAAAACATTAGTTCATGTGATTGGTAATTAGGGTACCTGTCTTTGGCGTCTGTGTTGCGCCTTTATTGTCGACTAAGGTAACTTCATTCGGTTTGCTACTGCACACTGAAAACAGAGATGGCGAATCATTCGATTGCAGGTCACTCGATGGTGTCTCTGGTGTTGCACATGCAGGCGCTTTCTTCTTGAATACAAATTTTTTCATGTTTTCTATCTTAAATCGTACTATTGAATCAGCTAAAATAAGTGGGAAAACTAACCTCCCTTCCCGCTTTACCTATCAACAAGCTAGAAGATTAATGCTGTAAAGTTAACTCTCAAAATAGTATCTATGATAAGTTTGCATGTCTGTTTAATCAATCAATCAACCACTGCTTGTGTTTGTTAGCCCACCTTGGTAGGATTGGGCTCGTCTGACACCAACTTGAGGAACTTCGCAAAACCCACCGGCCGAAGCCACAAGTCTGCATGTATAAGTAGAAAAGAGTTTTTGGGACAATTGAGCAGATGGCAAGCTATGTGATGTACAAGGAAAGTTCGGCAAAGACGGGAAGGGAGCTGTCCAAATGGGAGAGGGAAGTATTTAAAAGCCGACTATGGCCAGACCGCAGCTGAGAAAAATTACAGCTGGTAGTTCTGTAAATGGATAGTTCTGTCAACTTAACTATCTTAAGTTCAACTTGAGAAGAAAACGAATTCCTTTAGAGGGTGGGGTTTCGGAATGGAACTTGGTTTTTTTGCCATGTGGCTCCACTTAGAAGAGATTTTACAAATACAAAACCCAAAAAAGAGACTTCGTCTCGGCTATTAAAAACTTAGGGCTCCTTTACTGCGTCTGCCTTTTTCAGCAGAATGTTTGCACTTTGTTGATGATCTTTTAATAATGTTTTTTAAATAAAAGGAAGAAAAGGGGGTTACTTATCCATTTGAGAGATGAAAAAGTCATCAGATTGCGCACATAACCGTTCAAGCTTTTGTTGAATTATTCTTATCAGTATTTTAGGGGAAAAATGTGAAAATCGTCCGCGTAAGAAATGATGTGGACATGTTCTGGTGCGTGCGAGGCATGTACAAATAAATTTAAAGCTGGTTTTCATGCACACCTTCCAAGAGTGCAAAATGACACACCGCATGGACAGCCTCAAAAAAATCTAGAATATCGCGGTCAGGACAGTACGCACGGGGAGCGCGATTCCGATTAAAAATATGTGGTTCAAGGGTTGATTGTGCAGTGATGGTGGAGAGAAAAGGACTGAAACAGTGTTGATGCTTGGCGTTTGTGAGCTCTTCTGTAAAGATAATATGAAGCAGCCTCTTTAAACAGCTAATGGCAAGGCAAAGTAGCGAGGTGAAGTCCCACTTGTTCCTACAAATCGGTCCCATTTGTACCAAAATTATTCAACTCGATTTCTGATTGGTCGAATTGCGAGCCAACGAATTATTACAGAAATTTTCTACTGCTCAAACAGAAAACTAAAAAGCAGAATAGTGACCGCCGCAGTCGCGCTAACGTGTTGCGAGCTTGCCAACAGAGAGTAGGATTCTATTTGAAAATTAGAGCTGGTTATCGCCGCAAATCGGCGACGCGCGCCCACCGGCGACCTTAAACCAAGAGCCTAAAATAGTCGGCTTAATAGTCTTTGGCCAATTAAATTTTTTCGGTACTAACGCGATTGATTTTTGATTTTGGTACCAATGGGACCAATTTATCATTTTGGTGCTTGTCAATACTCACCAAGTAGCGATATGGACCTGTACAGAGTTGAAACGGGCTAAAGTTGTGAATGGAAATCTCAACAGGAGTGAAGTCTCAAAAGGTGTTAAGTGAAGTGTGAAAGTTTTTAACGGAAGTGTGAAAGGTGCGAACTCTTTTGAAAGCCAGGCCCGGCCCAGTTGCTGATCCTAAAAATGAGGTCAGAGCCCGGCCCTTAAAAAGCCCGATTCCGACTCTGGGCCTGTATGACGTAAAATGTATGACTTTTACATGGTTCCATGAACGGATTTAGGGGGGAGGAAGGACGCTCTCCACTCAGGGATTCGACCCCCTCGCCAACCAAAGGGTCCCCCTTTTGGTATTAATTTATAACATCAATTTTTGGCCGACCAATATATACTAATTTTGAAGGAGAGTTCGCGTCACAAAACGCGACTCTTTTTTCAAAAAAAATTTAGTTCAAAATAGGGGCTTCATTTTATTTTGGAGGCACTCGGAAAATGAATTTGGTAGGCTAAAACAAAAGGTAGACATAAAAAGGTTTTAAAAATCTGCCCCCTCAAGAAATTCCTAGATCCGCCGCTGCCTGGTTCAGGTGGTCTACCAACCAGCAGCGTTCCGAGATGGGAAAAGCGACCAACTAACACTGAAATTTCATTCCTTCAGTTTTCCAGAAGTTCTCCCTTTTGATTTCTTTCAACTTTGCTCGACTAACCCTTGTTTCGTTCTAAATACACAATGAATAGTTAACTTCACAGGATAGCTCGCGCCGAAAAAATCCTTATCTGTCAACCTTTCAAAAAATGCTCAAAAACGTTACTGTCTTGAAATAGCTGATTTTTCAGTTATTTCTCATCATATCACTCCCCATCCGCTGAACAAATGAGATTTTTCGTAAAATAGTTTAAAACGAAAAACAATCAGAGAAAACTGCATATGGTAAGATGAAAGGAATTATAATTTCTTTCGGTCAGCTTGTATTTAAACAGCAACTAGCGTTTAACGCACCTCCGGTGCTTCGAAATTGTTCGTCTACTCATGAAAAACCGCATATATTGGAAACAACATCTGCAAACTTTTAGTGTACTCTGACTGCACCAAATTTCGAACTTTTTAATTCCCATTTTAAAAACGTCATCTCGAAAACTTAATGGGCCTCTAGAGAAATTTGGAGGCCAGATTTGCAACCACTGAGAGTCCCTGAGAGCACCCTACTATAGGGTTAGGATTTCGAAATTTTGTGAATTTTTTTAAAACTAAGTTTCCCGAAAAAAAATGAAAAAAACATCTTATCTAAAAAACTAAAAGGATTTGAGCATTCATACGAAGAGGCAAGATTTTAGGCGCCTGTGTGTACGCTGACAATAAGGTTGTATCTTCATCAAATTAGTAGTTTCAAATTTTTTGAATTTCTTTGTAGATAAGTTTTTTTTGAGAAATTTTGAAAAAATCAAAAAACGTCACATCTCGGAAACTCAAAGCATTTGAGCAGTCGCAAGCGGCAAGATTTGCAAATCTTTAGAGTACCCTGACAACACCGAACTACAGCGTTGGGAATTTCATATTTCGAAAAATAATTAATTTAATTTTACTCTGACAGGACCTAACTACAGGTTTGGGAATTTCAGATTTTAAAAAAATAAAAATAATTCAAGTTTTCTGAAAATTTTTGAAAAAATCACAAAAAACCTCAAATCTCGAAAACTACAAGGATTTGGCCAGTCATATGTGGGGGCAAGATTCGCAATCCTTGATAGTACTCTGACAGAACCCAACTACATGGTTGAAAAATTCAGATTTTTCAAAAAAATAATAATCTTAAACTTTCTGAAAATTATTGAAAAAATCACAAAAAACGTCAGATCTCGAAATTACAAAGAGTTGAGCAGTCATATTTCGAGGCAAGATTCGCAATCTTTGAGAGTACTCTGACAGGACCCAACTACAAGGTTGGGAATTTCAGATTTTGCGAAAAAAAATTAATATAAGTTTTCTGAAAATTTTTGAAAAAATAACAAAAAACGTCAAATATCGAAAACTACAAGGATTTGGTCAGTCATATTTGGAGGCAAGATTCGCAATCCTTGATAGAACTCTGACAGAACCCAACTACATGGTTGAAAAATTCAGATTTTTCAAAAAAAATAATAATCTTAAACTTTCTGAAAATTATTGAAAAAATCACAAAAAACGTCAGATCTCGAAATTACAAAGAGTTGAGCAGTCATATTTCGAGGCAAGATTCGTAATCTTTGAGAGTACTCTGACAGGACCCAACTACAAGGTTGGGAATTACAGATTATGCGAAAAAAAATTAATATAAGTTTTCTGAAATTTTTTTGAAAAAATCACAAAATACGTCATATCTCGAAAACTACAAGGATTTGAACAGTCATAATTGGAGGCAAGATTCGCAATCCTTGATAGTACTCTGAGAGTACCCAACTACAGGGTTGGGAATTTCAGATTTTTAAAAAATAGTAATTTAAGTTTTCTAAAAATTTTTGAAAAAATCTCAAAAATCGTCTTATCTCGTTAACTAAAATGATTCGGGCATTCAAAATTGGAGGCCAAATTTCCCACCCCTAATTCGATTTTGGGCTGCTTAATTTAAACTCGGTAAAATAACCACTAAAATCAAATTGGAAAATCGAAAAAAAAATTCTTAACCATTGCAATATACGATATAGCTTAAACATGCGAAAATAATACGTTGAAAAAGCTTAAGTATGGCGAGATAGTGAAGCCCGCATTTAAATAAATAATAGATTCCTAGAAAAATGATAGGAAGGGTTCCTGAAGCATCGTTACAAAGTACGTGAAGAATCAAACAAGGCACCTTAGGATGGTGTCGAAGGATTCATCAATATTAATCTATTTCAGTCGTGATTCAGCCCGACGTTAAAAAAATTTCCAAGAAATTACCTCAGTGGAGATGAAAAACCGGTTTGAAAGGTTTTCTTTTTAGATCCACTTATTGAATCCTTGCTACTGAAACTTGAATCATTGCTACTGTTGTGTAAGTAGTGTTATTCTAGGTTGATGAGCCATGGCTAGTCTCCTCTCCCATACACACAAAAAAAATCGATTTTTTCGATTGCAGAAGTTTTCTATGTTATAACACACACTTGCGAGAACAGGACAAATGCAGCTCTATAAAGTACAAGAAAAATTTTTAAAAATCTCAATTTAGCAAAAACTCGTGTACCTCTTGAGATTCAAACCTGCGACATTCACACAAATAAAGCAGAGAACAGATGCTATGCAATTTCAAATGCTACAGTGGAATTTCTAAATAAGTGAACATTTTATTTGCGTAACAAAAAAACCCTGAAATCAAGCTGCGCTACACCTATGGAAGAATAAAATAAGACCAATAAATTCGAAACAATAAAATTTTGCGAACCTAATTGATCACCTCGTTATGATGCCAGTCAGCTTATATAACTAGATTTCCTGATCTGTCCCTTTTCTCATTTGGGCAGCACCACTTGCG